AAGTCCGATCCCTCTGCAATGGAGGCGCCTTTATTTTAGGCAATAATCGCCTCCTCCGTTCTTCTGGCTGCAGCTTTGTCAAGGGCTGCTTGTGCAAACTTCCAGTGCTGAGATAGACGAATCGCTTCCAACTGCTCTTTCTCCACCGCGCCGAACTTGTTGAGTCTTGCTTGGCAATCCCGCGAGAACGATGGTTGAGGTCTTCCACAGTTTCGACATCTAGTGGAGGCCTTGCACTCTTCTTCAGAGGGCATCTTTGAACCGTAATTCGGGCAAGCCAGAGCGTGGAAGTGGCCACGGGTGGCGTGGAAGCTGAGGCAGCGATAACACTGTTAGATTTTTAGTCAAGGCTGGTGCTTTACAGCCATTCTAGATTCGTCGAGGATGCGAAGCTGTCACGTTTAATCCTCGCTGACCAAGACGGTTAGCATAAACAAATAATCGAGGTACAATAAGTAGAATGGTCCTCTTGGACTTCTTGTAGCTTCTTGATCAATCTATCTATTTAATAAGGACATCGTCTTATTTCGTGACAGAAGCCCGCATGAGGGGCGGAATCCAGGACAAAAATGGCAACCCAGTTTTTGTACGGCGCACCAGGAAGGCACGTCTCGTGTGATCACACCAGTATTGGCTTCATGCGAGTACAAGAGTTGATTTCGGATGAAATCCATCCAGCATCAACCTTACTAGTACCGTCGAGTATTTTGAGGATTGCGGGTACATCCGCGATCCGAAAGGCGATAAGATCGGAAGCTTCTTCGAGTTTGGCGTTAATATTTGCCATTTTCGGAGACGCATCTAGGAGCCATTGCCATATTCCTTTTGGCTTTGCCAGAATCGGCTTCGCGATTCTGACTCGGTGGAAAGGGCTGGCGTCACCCACAATTCATCCCAACTCATTCTCTACTACTTGTTGTGCGTATACAGGTGAAAGTTTGCGCCACGGGTCGTCGCTACCGAGACGGATGAAAAATCGTCTGTCGACTTTCGCCCTGGGGCCTTTTTTATATTGAGCTTTAGTCGCAGGTCGCGGCACAGTCATTACAGTGTGAACTTCTATTTGTCGCAATTTGTTTTTGGCAACCGTAGCCAGGGTGTTTTTTGAAGGCAGCACTATGACGGTAGGTAAAGTTGCACTACTGGCATCAGGAGCTCTCGGAGGATGGATCACCGGGCGAGGAGGGAGGACGGGTGGCGTAGAGGCCATGAATTGCGCAATTGCGGCACGTAAATAGACACTCATAGAGTCTAAAAACTCTAGATTTGTCCCATTTTTCAATAGGAGAAGGGTTATTTCGATGCCAGAGATGACGGCGGAACAGAGTGTCAGGTTTGCCGCTGTTTCGGCGGCGCGTCACTCTTTAGTTCCGAGAATCGGTCGGAGCTCTGTAGGGCATTCTGCTTTGATGGCAGCTTGAAGCTGCGACTCTTTGGTTGAAGCTACTTTCGGTGCAGCTTTCTCCGACGGTCTAGGCTCGATTGGAGAAGATTCGAAAGGTCCTCTTATCCCATGGGAGATGGATACTGGTGGAGGAATTTCCTCAACAAAGTCGACGGAACCAATCATGTCAGTATTGGGCTCAGCGACGGCGGGAAGGACTTTGTCATTCCCTCTAAAACGGCCGGACTCATCTCTACGCATTTTGGAGACTGGACAAGGCCATATAATTGATCGAGAGCCCTCGGGTGGACTCTCGTGTTGTCCAACGTGGCGTTGGGACCCTTTTAACGAACAGGTGGCATGGTTAAAATGCCAGCGACTCGATGACAATTTATTAAAGGAATGCGACGAGCGCGAGAGGGAGGGAGAGGGAGAAAAGGTGAATTTTCGAATTTTCGAATTTCAAAAAATTGTATGATTGTTGTTGTTGTATTTTTAAAGTCCTGAGCTAAAGTAAAAAGCTCTACATCCTACTATTGGTACAGGACCGGTGGAGCCGGTAAGGATCACTGTATACAGGCCCAACTCATTCCAACCGCGTGAACTTCCACATAAATAGTGGTGTTAACAGCAATACTAAAATCAAAAGCTTAAATCAAAAACTAAAATCAAAATCAAAATCAAAAATAAAATTTAGAAGAAATCTCTGTAGGTCCGGATCCCGCGCTTCTCGCCCGTTCCCTTTCCTGTCACATCTTCCAAGTGACACTTTCTTACCTTGGCTGAGAGTAGAAGATGAGCTCGCAGGCACCCTTTTTCCATCTGGTGTCCTACTGTTAGTATGTTGAAACCTCAACGACTTCACTGAGGCTGTCGCAACCTCAAACCTCCTCTTCGGATCCTAGAATCCCAAAACCAGATCCGTCTGACATGTAGACGTCATTCTTCGCGCCGTGAATCGCTTGAGTGGCTATTTCAGCTGCAGCTGTGATGCGAGTAAAATCTGCGAGATTTTTTCGCTCGACCTTGCGAATCAACGCAAGCTGCTCTTTTTTCACCGGGCCGAACTTGCTGGGTCTGGCTTTGCAGTACCGCGAGTCCGATCAATGAGGTCCCCCACAGTTTCGACACCGTGTGGGGGCTTTGCACTCCATTTCAGAATGCATTTTTGATCCGCAGTTCCAGCAAGCCGGAGCGCGGGAGCAACCGCGTGAGGCATAGAAGCCAAGACATCGATTGCACTGAACTATTTTTCGACGAGGTTGGAAGAGCTTTGCCGCTCCGGAGTCATCGAAGAGGCGAAATCCAGGTCTGGGCGTGGATTCACGAGGGAAGAGCGCTTGCCAGTTCTGGTATGGCGCCCCGGGTTTGCTGGTCCCATGAGGACGAACAAGAGAAGGAACTGATTTGGTCACTCGCGTGACTTCGTCGGCGACCATCTTTTCCGTGATGAAAACGGAACCTGTGAGTGTATTAATTCTCAGCGGGACGGTGGCAATTAGTAGGGCAACCAGATTTGACGCTGGTTCCAGTTTAATTCCTGATTCTCTCCTTTCTGCGGAGGAATCAAGGAGCCCTTTTCGAGCGATTTCATCCTTTGCTGTTAGAGCAAAGCCTATTTTGACCCGCTGAACTAACGCGAAGTTGTTAGCCGCGGTACCGAGTGCCTCTGAGACAGCTGATCTTACGCCAGCTAGTGCAAGGAGTCAGTGGGGATGGTCTTAATCGAGGCGTAGAAACAGTCGCGTGTCAACCACTGTCCTCGTATTGGCACCCCTTGCTTTTGGAGCGGGCGGGGCTGCCTTTTTTGTTGGTGGCCCAATGCTGTGGCCAAGGCCTGCTCGAGCTTCATTCGCCCAAGTTGTCTTTTGGGCCGGAGCCTGAGTTATCGAAGGGTTAGGTACCCTAATTTCATAAGCCCTCGGCGGAGGAAGGTTGCTGGGGCCCGCAGGGAGAGCTGGTGGAGTGCTCCCTGGGCCTGATTGTATGAACTGGCCAATGGCCGCTCGAAGGTAGACTTTTATACCGTCTACAGACTCTTTTTCGTCGCAAATCGAGAGAGGCGAGAGTGCTGCTTCAACACTGCTTATTGCAGTGGAACAGATTGATAGACGTGCTTTTATTTACGTCGTGCGACGCTTCTCGGATTCAATCACTGATTGCAGCTCCGGAGGATATTCCGGTGCTGATGTCGAAGCTGTGCCTTTTGGAGCTGGCACATTGAATTTTCTTGCAGAAATTTCTGCTTGTTCTGTTGTCTTATCTCGGACGACTTGCTTTCCTTTCCTTGAAGTGCTTGCCTCTGGGCCAAGCTCGATGGGAATGTTGGTCTTGGGATCAATTTTCTCTAACCTGATGGGCTCAGAATCAGTCATCTCTTTATCGGGAAGGTTTGGAGACTTCCCTTCGATGAAGGCCTCACTCGCAAGCAGGCTTGATACTTTTTGCGCGGGGCCAGATATTTTTGCGGGAGCCCTCGGGCGGACTCTCGCGTTGTCCAACATTGAGTAGGGAAGATTTTCTCGAACAGGTGGCATGATGAAAATACCAGTGACTCGATTACAATTTATTGAAGAAATACGACGAGCGCGAGAGGGAGGGAGAGGGGGAAAAGGTGAATTTTCGAAATTTCGAATTTCAAAAAATTGTGGGTGTGTTTGTGTTTATTGTGCTACTTCAGTCTGACTATCTAGCACATTGGGCTCCTCTATGACCCAGGCCACACCTTGTACAGTGCTCCTATCCTCTTTTGTTACTTGAAAGATCATTGATTTATTCCCCTTGATGAATAGCCATTCAGCTCGGTGTTTACCCGTCGAATTCGGCCACCTTTTCCACGGAGCCTTCTACCCAAAAAAAATGGTAGCAATGGAATCTGCGTGCGCGGGAAAAAGTCTCAAAAAATCTGCAGCCCCAGCCAGGCGAGGCCTAGACACCGGGACCACATGAGGTGCGCATATTCATCTACATCTCCCTTCTTTGTAACAGTCGAGGCCGACTTGATCCAATCCGCCATCTCCGTATCGGGTGCTGGGTACGCTCCGGAAACTCATCGAGTGGCTTTTCCTCCGTGATCAAGGTTTGGTGATGAGTAGAGCTCCGACCCTACCATCTGATCTGATTGTAGTTAGCTTCATGATAATGGTGATAGGGGAATGTGTTGAGAGATGAAGACAATACAGACGGCGAAGGCGATTGGGAATCCTCTTCGCAGTGAGGACTTTATTATTCAATCTCGGCTCGGCAGACACTACAGTGAGAGCTGGAGGTTCGTAGGGGATACCACTGACAGGTGTTGAGAATAGTCCCCCTTCCTATATATAGGACTGTAACTATTACACAGAGTTATTCAAATCAAAGTCAAGATAATATCATATATTTTTCTGTGAATTGTAAAGCAATTTATATGATAGCTGAAGGTGGAAAGCAAGAGATCACGGGGAAATTGAATTGGGGTGGCAAATTTGATTTAATGATCATATACCCAAGTCTTACTTACTCACACGGCACGAAATATATTTAGCATGCGAAAAGTTTTCCAAAACGCATATGATAGACAGGTTTCGACGGGAGAGATTAGCTGCACCTTACTTGAGCCTGCTGATCACCCTATCTTTCATTGAGACATCCCTTTCGCTCTTCTGTATATAAAATCGACGTATCCTAGCCTCCTTCCTTTCGCATACCGAAGAGCATCTTGAGCAAGACCGTAGGCAAGACCAGAAAATAAAGCTATACGGGCGGTTCTAGCCGCAGTCTGCCTTGGTAATGAATATTTGGGTAAGTTAGCACGGGTTTTAATTAAAAGAGCTCCATGAACGAGTTGGGGGGCTGATTGAATAAAAACTTACTCCACCAGCTGAACCCTCCTGCAACTGCAAGTCCACCTCCTGTGGTGTTAAGAAAGTCTTTCTCATTGCGCCAATGGTCGAAAATATTTTCAATCGTGAAGAAGGCGGCTGTCCACATTCCAACACGGAGTCCCATCTTTCCACCTTCTTTGATGCCTCCGAGAGCTGTAACATAGTTCTTGCTCTTGTGGTAGAGATACCAGCCAGTAGGAGACGTTGGCAAACGATGCGCATTCTCAGCTCGAAAGCGTAGTCCGGTCACAGTTGCTCCATGACCGAGTCCTAATGAGGCCCCAACGAGAGCGCCGAGTGTTGCTGCCAACGGTAATCTGATGGCAAATGGAAGACCCAAGCGGGCCTCCTGGCGCATTTCCCACCTTCGCTTGGCGGAGATAATTTTTCTTCGTTCTAATTCTTCGTCGGAGACATCCTCATCTTTGTCCGTCATACTATCCAAGCGTCAGGTTGCTGGTGATTGTTCGATGAGCGTACGGTTGAACTGAAGGGATTTTCAACAGCACAGAGGTACTATCAAGCCCATAGATTGTGCTTACTTCAGAATACTTTGAAACAAATTAATTTATTAGTTTTTAAAATGTTCAATGAAATACTTAGATCTGCTGTGAGAGCTAGTGTATTGTTTTCTATGTAGCGTGGTTAGCATCATTTCGAGCCCGCGAGGCGAGTTTAACGGTCGTAATCAAACACAGTCGACCACACCTGAACATCCAACCCATCTCCTTTGAAGGATTTCTCCAACGATTGGGCAAATTAGACATTTTTCTGGAAATGCTATTTCGTCTCGAACTTTTTTTCAATGATCCTTGAAGATGAATACTTATCCACAATTTCCCCCATGGAAAGTCCATGTTAGTGGAGGGAAAAGACTGGAACCGATCCACGATGTCTTCGATTCCGGGAGTAAAATATTCTCTCAACCAATTTCAGTCAAATTTTGCAAAAGCAAAGGAATTGGCCTTCGGCAATTATTCGAGACAAGTCACTAAATCAATCTATAACTCCCAACGAGATGGGTTCCCACCTATCCCCAATCAAGCTTACAAGCACGGCCAAGTACATTCTAGTTTCAATGACTAAACCTCCCATGGATTCATTCTCTGGCTTCAGCCGGCCACCAAAGTCGCGTCGAAGGAGATAAATTTTAACCCGCCGGACGACTAAAATCTTGGTGCACGAATCTATGAGGCAGCTGTCTAGGACGGACCGAATAAAGATTAGGGCAAGTTTACAAGTTGTTGCAGAGGATGGATAAAATCTCGGCAGGCATGAGGTCTCAGATTGTGTCTCAGAGTTTTTCTATTTGAGCATTATGAGCGCCAAGCTTTTGATTGTGATAGTGTAGCTGACACTATATACACAAGACAACGATGGTTAGCGCTGTAGTCCGCTTCCTGATGGTGTTCTCCGGTATAGTCTGAGTAGCCTAGGCACCTACTCCACTTGGGAAGTAGACGCCTCATACAATATTTCGCGCAGAGAAAAGTAAATGGATGATGAAGGCATATCTGAATAACTCAGGGGTTTTAAGACGTTCCCCTGGGTGGGTATTCACGGATGAGGGTTGACTTGGGGCGAAGAGAAAGCCAACGTAGCTTTGTAGTGGTACTTGCAAATGAAATACGAGGCATGAGTGCCCTTCTATAATGAAACATCTTTTCTGTGCTCTTTGTCCAGTATTGTGTCATGGTTAGATAGCTGCACGCGTGATTAAAATCGGATGAAAAAATAGTTTATGGCCATGGAGGACTTCTACAATCTACTTTAAAGTGAAATTTTTTCAGACATTGAGGAACGAGTCCTATTCAGGATAATGTATTCAAAGCGAATTGGGGTATCTAGGATCTCTCTACCTACAGAATGAGGATTTATATCCCTCAAGCAACAAGTTCCCTTGCGTACCTCCGACAAAGCTCCTATCCAGGAGCAATCTCGCTCAAAAATCAGCATGCGAACAAACACTTTGAGCCCTCTTGCCTCCATGGTCTCCTTTTCGATGCAAAGAACGGAAGAAAATTGGCCCAAGTGAAATAATCGTAAATCGCAGCCCATGGGACTGCAGATTACTGAGGATTCTTCCTGCGCATGTAGTTTGCATCGCTACCAGTTTAATTTCTTTCGGTATAAATTTTGGTGGGAATAGAGGTTTCATTCTGGGTGTAACTTCTAGGCTGAATGGCTATCCGCCACGGGCATTATAAAGGAGACCCCTTTTGCGACATTAGAAGATAGGAACAATGTGCAAGGTGTGGCCTGGGTCAGAGAGGAGCCCTACTTGCTATACAGACATAGACTCCAGTAGTGCGGTAAACTCACAACAACACGATGGCGGCAGCTAGAGAAGGAAGTTCGGACGTATTCGTTTAGGAAACGTAATCATTAAATGGGGATATAAGATACGAGTGATTAGTCCATACTAGGCTTCGATGCGCAATCCCTGGGTATTAAACAAGAGACGCACATGGATAGAGGGCAGACAGCAAAGTATACTCAGAAAAGAAGGATGCAGACCCAATAACTATCGGCCGCGTCTCTCCTGAGCTTCAGCGTGTAATTATCTTAGATCCGAGTTCAGGCAGCCTGCGCAATGTAGAAGTGACACACGAGGCAATTATCGGAGGCTCCCGATAGAATAGCTGATGACCAAAGCTCCACCATGTACACGGCCACGACTGCACGATTACCTGGGAAATGATCCAGATTTAGACGCACAGATATTGGGAGGTAGATCTCTGGGATAGATATCTGAGACATCAGAAGAGGTGTATAAGACTCTGCAGAGGATAGATGGGGTCCTGGTCAGATGTAATTCGACATAATGGGGAAGGATGCTTGAAATTGTATTAGATAACGGAGGCCAAAGCTGCGGTTGCGTAAGTGAAGGTGACCGTGAACAGGCTCATCTCTGGAGTAGAATGTAGACAGCTTACACAATAACCTCCAATGAGACGGGAAAACGCTAGTTGGCACCGAGGCTCCGATCACCTTTCTGACCTTGCCCGTGAGTCGGTTGATGGTGGCACGCTGGAAAGCCAAAGCTTGCGAAAGTCTCTTTCGGTGCATACCCACGGACGAGCTTCGACAGATTTGAGCTTACACACACACAAATCACTGCGGTGCTTGCGAATCAAAAGTAGAGCGTAATTGTTTCCAAAGGCAAAAGTTCATCGATAATATATACTAATCATGTGACAGGGCGAAATGGCTGAGGACGCTACTGGTGGTCTGGGAAGAAACAGGTTAGACTGCTCGGAGTTGGCCGGGTATGCAAGCTGTCCAGCCCTTACTCAAAGTGGCAGTCCCGTGTGATATCGGCCTGGGCATCAAGGTGCCAAGAGCCTTGAACACGCGGCGGCCCACGACGTATTAGATAGTCATGGCGCTCGGGAGCGTGTGGGGGGCGAAGAGATAGGTCCGATTGTGGTCCCTGCAGAAAGTGGCAGTCATCTGCTACTTGTCCGATCGGGATACCGCCAATAATCATATTTTAGCACAAATATGGATGCTCTATATTTGTTCAAACGCTCTAAACTTCTCCGTTTCTTTGTCGGTCTTCTCGCGACTCGTGCGTACAAATCATGCAGAAGCAAGGATTGTGGTCAAAATACCGGAGACTTTACTTGAATGCTACGATGACTACCATTGACATGTTCAATAACATCCCTACCCTCTGATCCTTGGTCATTGCCATGAAAGTTCGAAGTTTATTGACCGCATTAGTGGATTGGGTGGATATGATCATCGCCCAAGCCCGTATCCCTGCCTATTATATCCATGATGTTTGACTAGCGCCCGTGAGTTCAGACCTGCCATGAATTTCGTGGTTTCGGTCGCATCCGATATTTCAAAACTGCATGTGACGGCTTACTGTCCGGACAAACAGCTTGTGTAATTCAACTCAAGAAGGGCTGAGTTCCTGGCTACCATACATCGCTTTACACTAACCGTTACCTAAACTTGTTAGACTCCAAATTATAGAAGTAACCCTTATCCTTCCCGACTGAAGATTTCTTGAGAAGAGTACGTACTAGAATATAGTTGGCTACCCATGTAAATAATTGACTACATTTGTTGGCTTCAAACCAGACTATTGTGCTACAAACATTACTCAGCCAGAGGGGGTGTAAAATATAAACGATATGCCGTGCATAACTACAGCTCGAATTATGAATTGAATTGATATTTTCATCAGGTCCGAGTCTCCAATAGAATCAATGTCCAAGCAAAGAGTAACTCCCGCTACTAAACTGAGTAAAAGTAACACGCCAAGACACCAGCGAAAGCAAGTCAATTCGCCCAAAACCTCAAGTTTCAAAATTAACTACAGGAATGCAACACATGATACTCCGGCTCGTTATTCAGGTGCGTCGTCAGATGTATGGAAGATATATTGTTGGCGTGATTGCAGGTTGATTAGATTGCGTTCCGGTCAACTTTCGCTTTTCGAGTAACTAGTTTTTAAGTAAATATCTGGAGCTAGGCGATATTGTGACTATTGTAAAAGGTACGAAGAAGTGTTAAAAGCAATTGAGACTAGTCTTTTTCTTCTTTTTGCTAATGGCATTCATCCTCTCTTCGAGATGGGCTCGGGCAATTTCGGCGTCGCGACGTTTCTTTCGCTCTTCTTCAACTTGAAGCATACTCCATCGATTTTCCTTTTCGAGTTTACTATTCTTCTCCTTGTCTTTTAGTTCCTTAATTTCAGTTTCGAGTTCTACGCATCTTCTTTTCCAGGCATCACAATCGGACCTCAATTTCTTACTCTGCTTTTCGAGTTCAGTTAAGGCTTCCTCTAAAGTTTGTGTGAGTTGTTTCTCCGCAGACAGATGTTTTTCAATGGTACGAATACGAGCTTCCTGGTCTTCATGTACTTGTTGAGCTGCTATGTCCTTACTCGTGGGACGATTAGTTTGCACGGGGCTTTGACTAGCTGTGTTATGTACGTTTGATGAGGGCGAAGCGGCAGCAGCCGGTAGAGGAGGCAGTGGAATAGCAGGTGGCGGAGACGGTAATGACGTAACTGAAGGCGATTTTCGGAGATGTCCGTTAGTATTCGGTATTTTGGATGTGGACTCAATACTCTCTACTTCTCTGCTCTTCGCCTTCAAGGCAATTAACATTGAATTTGGATTAAATTGGGATGAAATAACTTACCTGGAGATTTGTATATTCCTCTTTAATTGATTCAAGCTCTTTCTGGATCTGGCTTGTTAACGCCTTTGATTCTTCTATTTGAGCCGAATGTTCCGACTGGAGGCTCGAAAGTCGACTATTAAGTGCCTCATGCTGGTCATAGTTGGCTGCTAATTGATCTTCTAATTCTTCAACTAATCGTGAACTCTTGTCATTCTTCGTACTTAACTCGTACATTTCTTTTTTCAAGGCAACCAGCATATCTTTGGCGGATAGATTTGAATCAGGAGCCTTATAATTTTCGGAGTTTGCGAGAAGCATGCCAGTTATTTGATCCTTGATCGATTCTAGCTCAAGTTTTTGTGACTCATTCACAGTAGACAGTTCAGAAATGTGGTCCTGCATTGAGCGATTCATCTTTGTCTCTTCCAAGAGAACCTTTCGGCTTTCAAGAAGATCAGCAACTGTTTCTTGTAACTTACTGGTACCAATATCGGTATCTAATGCTAGGGAAACCTGAGATGTTATCATTATTATAACGTCGCGAGCCTCAGATATTTCAGCCCTGAGGCGAGCTGCTTGTTCTTCAAAGCTATTGTTTAGTTCGGAAACGAAAGCCTCATGTTCTCTGGAGTTACTGGCCTTTAATTCTAAAATCTCTTTCTCATGATTCTTGCGTAAGGAACCAAGTTCATCTTGAAACGCTTGAACAACTTTGTTGTGCTCTGTAATTTGTTGCTCGAGATTTTCAGTGAGGGAATGGTGATATCCAATTTCCATTTGCGCTCTATCTCTCAGATTGATGGCTGCTTCAAGCTGTTCCTGTAGCAAGGCTTGAGACTCTTCAAGGTTACTTAAACGAAGAGTTTGGTTCTCTATAGTTAATTTATATCCAGAAATCTCTTCGTGTAAACTGGATATGACTCCATCTGTATCTGTACTATCTACCTTTGTTGAATGAGCCTGCTCGCTTTGTAACTGGCTCTGTAGTTCAGAAATTGTTATTGACGTCTTCTGTTCAGTATTGGTCATTGTCTCCAACATGGCCGCGTGTTTCGCTTGCAAATTGCAAAGTTCAGCCTTTAATTCAGCTATACCCTGAATTTGAGTGCTTTCCTCCTCGCTGCTTTTGGTACCATTAGTCTCATATTTATTTCTTGTTTGTAGATCTAGGGATGCACGTAAACTTTCAAGTTCACGAAGCAGCTGTTGTTCTCGTGATAAATGTGCTTCTTTTATCTGAGTTTCTCGTTTCATCAATTGATCTCTCATTGTCGAGACCACGGAAATATCAACAGGTGATAGCTGTAAGCTTGATCGCTCACGTGTAAGACCAGATATTATTGTCATTTTGGCCTCCATCTCTTTCTTAGCTGCTGCGATATCGGCCTCGAGTTCTTGCACCCTTTCAGAGCGGGTATGGAGTTCGTGCATCGCAGTATTCAAGTTTAGTTCAAAGTTGGCCATTGTATCTGGGTCTCCCTCAAAATTTTCAGTGCCTATGTTACGTAAGGACGCAAATGCACGATGCGCCTTATCAATTATCATAACACCTTGACTAGATTTACGTCGAATGATTGGTGTTGCGGAACGAGGCGATTCAGTCTGTGCTAATTTGGCCTTGGAGACCTCGTTCTTTAAGTCTTCCACTAAATTGAGAGCATCAATATGTTCCTGCTCGAGTCGGATAAACTTTTTCGCCAATAATTTTTGCAAACTCTCTTGCTCTGCATTCAATCTTCTCATTTTTTCTACATCCGCAGAGCTCTCTTCATCCGCATTTTCCTCATTCTTGAACGGAAAGTTTGGATGATCCAGACCATTCTTGGCAGTACAATCTTCGTTGTTTGTTAATACACTACTAGCAGACGATGACTCTAAAGGGAATTGTAGCGATGGAGAGCGAGTATCTACTTCTGTAGACTCTCTCATTTTTGCTTCGGCTAAGAATGAAGCAACTTTCGATTCTTCCTCTGATGTTGCTGATGATATTGAATTACGATCATTTAGATGATTTGGTGACACAAAAGAGTCTTGCATTTCAGCCATAGTCCGAAGAGCTTCATCATATTTTGCTGCTAGAAGGTCCAGTTCATTCACTGTTGACTCATGTTCTACGCGAAGATCAATGAGTTCCTGAGTCACATTCTCTAACTTGTCCTCTACGAATTTCGACTGGGCGCGACTCAGTGATTGGTAAGGTAAGGAAGTGGATATAGATGAAGCTCGACATCCTTTGGAATCATTTTCTTCATCTTGATCGACATGCCCGTCTGAGTCAGAGGTCAACGTTACCTTGGAGTTGGAAACGGCAAACTCATCATGCTCCTCAGTTTCTAGAATAACATCTTCTAAGCTTCGTGCCGTCGCACAGCTACGATCACGATTGTGATGCGAAACCTGATGTGTCCGGTTGCGGCTGATTCCATCATGCTCTTCACAGTTCCTACTATCTTTCTGTATATGATCAAGTTCGTATAAAAGGCTGTCTAGTTTTCCGAGACTTCGTTGTCGCTCAACAACATGTTCAAGACGATCGATTTCGCGCTGCATGAGTTCAGTGTCTTGATCAGCCTCAGCCAGCTTCTCCTCTAAGGATGAAATATAATCTTCACACGTCGCTTCTTTTTCACGGACTCTCGCGATTTCTTTGCGAAGCTCGGTCATGAGAGCAGAGTTCTTTTCTTCGCCTGAGTTTTGACTATCTAATTTTGCTTCTAGGCCGTGGAGATAGTTTTCGGTACTTGATTCACGATCCATCAGCTTTTGCAAACGAGATTGCAATTGTTGGTTTAGAGTTTCTAAGTAAGCGCATTTCGTCTCCTTTTCTAGAAGCTCAGTCTCAGTGTTGGACAGAGAACTTCGAGTTCCTGAAAGTGACTGCTCGAGACTTTGAATGGTTTGTTCGTACTCAAGTACCACCTTTCCCACAGCTTCGGCAAATGAGTTTGAGCGTTCTAACCTCTCATTGGCCTTGTCACCAAGGCTATCCTCAATTGCCTTACTATCAGCTAGTTTACTATCGCGAGCCTTGGCCATATCTGATATGAATTTAGCGTGCCGCTGACTGAGGGCCGTGTAGTTCTCTTGACTATCAAGAAGTTGGTTTTGGAGCTCCATTTCTCGCCCGTTCAGACGTTCTGATCGCTCCCCCCCCGAAACATGACGTTCTGACCCTTTCTCATCGTCTCGAATTTGATCTCGGAGAAATGCTACTTCTGCCTTCAACCTCTCAATAAGAGCTTGCTTGTCATTATCTTCGGTCAAGTGCTGAATCCTTGGTTTGATTTGGATAGAACGGGCTCGTTGGGCGTACTGAACTGTGTTGAGAGTCTCACTCAGGTGAAATTCTGCGGGAGTAACACATGCAATCATGTAAGTTATGGCATTACCACCTAGGGAATCCTGTAATAGTCTCGTAAGCTTAGAATCACGAAAAGAAACATGGGATCCAGCTTGACGAGAGGAGAGTTGAGAGATCACTTTTCCGAGGCTTGCGAGGCCAGCATTGATAGAGATTCCTTCTTTTGCACGTTCTCCTTGAGCACCTGTGTTTTTGAGTCTTTCGCTACCTGCTAAATCAACAAAATGGAATTTACTGTCAATAGAAATAGTGTTATCTGATGCATTTGTTGTTTCTTGTGGCGTTGAATGACTTTTATCGCTGGAAGAGGAATTGGGGCATTTACTTTTGTGCTGAACCAAATTTAGACTGAAGACTGCATGAGATCGAGAAGACTTTGCATTTATAGCAGTGGAGTCAGTCTGGCGAATACGGGAGCCATAATCAAGTGCAGCCATCATATCTTCCACAGAGTTAATTTCGATCTGGTGCAGTCCGGTGAGAAGAATGTGCCCCTTTGTATCTTCTCGTATGGTCACACTTTGCCTCTGATGTGGCGGGTAGGTCTCTGGAAGAAGCAGATCTCGTAATTGCTCGTTGTATATTTCCACATAACTTGCCTTGAGCACCCAATATTTACCGGAGCTTTTTCCGTCTAGTGATAGAGATGGTGTCGTAGAGTTCATGGAATACCTGACAGGTGTTTTTAAGCCGGACATCGAATGTCGATTGGTGGATTTTAGCCCATCCAACTTTTCAAAAAGTGCTGCTGCAGCGCGTGGAATCACGCCTGTGAAAAATAAGCTTGGTGGCTTCTTGAGGCGCATTCCCAAAATGACCAAGTAAATTGGGTAAATTTTCCATAATGCAATCCTCGAGGAAGTGCAGACTCACCCATAGATCCTGGATTTCCTTGCTCTGAAGGGTCCGAAGTTCCCATTGTATAAGACTTCCCAGCACCAGATTGGCCATAGGCGAGCATGGAAACATTGTATCCCTGGATAAAAGCATTTATACTCTCCACTAGATAATCCCAAATTCCAGCTTGATCGACACTCCCATCAAAAACTCGATCAAAGTTGAAAAGTCGACGTCCCTGGGGTGAATCAATCTCTAGATTTGTAACCGAAGTTACCCGGACCATAGAACGTTGAAATCTTTGGGGAATAAGATCATATCCTGGATCTGATGGATTGAGCGGTGGGCGCACACGAACGACTGAAACTGAGAGTCAGAAGAGTTGACACTATCATGAATCATAAATCCGACCAACTAACCAACTTTAACAGATGTCTTTCCCTCTTCGTCTGATACTCGATTGGATCCTCCATTTCTGCCGCCGATGACGCTTAGTCGACTCGATATACTGGGTGGTCTTATTGACGTGCTCACCGGGCGAGCAGGCCTCTCGGCCGGCGATGCAGGTGGAGAGCTGGTCATCGCACCACCACGTTACCTCTTTTGACGCCAAAATGTGTAGAGAAAGATAAAGAATTTCACCTAGAGTTTTCACACTTCAAAACAGTTTGCAGGAATGGTGGATTGTAGCGCTTGTCTAAGGCTACCCCCTGGTTATTATGTATATGATTCACCCTTGAAAGGGGGAGGGTGGGTAAACAGAAACACACAGGTGTCCCTCTACCCTAGCTTAGGCAACAGGCCGGCCGGCTCGCTGTGGTGGTGTCATGGTATTATGACAAGCGAGTGTGTCTCTAACGAGTTTAATGCTATGTTAAGTCCCACTAAATCTGGGTGCGAAATACTGATTATGGCCGAGCTCAAAGGAAGTTGTGGTCGTCGCTCATACTTATCCGGCGAGTCATCAGAGTTCTTGGAATTTGCATGTCGGCCAATCGTCAGTGAGACGACACCCATTGATCCCTTGTCAGATGCCATTATCTCCGGTATGTACATGCGAGTAACGTTCAAGTAGCGACCTGCATCGGCAGTGATGCTATTAAATCTAGTACCTGCCGATGATAGCAGACCCATATACACCAAAAGATGTTGCTTCAGCACGCTAATTGACGCGCCGCTCCTTAATATTTCCATTCAAATGTCCGTTAGGCCCTACAACTGGCAGCCCGTTCAATTTTCCTTGACTGTCCTTCGGCGATAAAATTTTTGCTTTGTTTTTGTGCCCACCCCGTGTAATACAGGGGTATTTATGCACGCGGGTTGGAGCTACCCATGTATGATGTATCATGAACCGAGTTCACCTGCAGACAACAGACGAGGGTGGGGGATGTTAGACATGTTCGAGCACTCATTTTTCGTTAAAATATCTGAGGAAAATGGGACGAGTAGGTGGGGAACATGAATTAGATGAGGTAATACCCCATGTAAATAATTAATCGAAGACCAAATAATTGAAGCCTGACCTGCTACCACCGTGTATCTTATCGAGGATGTAACGGTCTTGATGATATTCCGAGCCTACCTACACCAGAAAAGAAGTCTACGAGTACGAGATTTCCATCCCAAAGTTCTGAAGACTTTCTCAAATTGACGGAAGTGCGGAAGTAGCCGACACCAGGGCAGTTTTCTCGATTCCTCTACTGAAATTGACATTCCATCTATCATTTTGTCTCATCTCCACGCCTGGAATAAAATTACACCAGTTAACGCGATTCATTCCACTGACAGTGTGGGATTTCTCCCATGTTGCCCTTGAATATAAAGCTCGTTGGAAGATAAAACCCGAAACAAAGATTCGAACACAAAGCGCGAAATACTCGTGCTAGACGCGCCAAATAAGGATGGGTGGACATCAATCGATCCCATTTTGGAGCTACGAGCCGAACGTCTGACTGAAGTACGCGCAGACGTAATGGCTAAGACGACGGCAGTCACAATGTGCATAATGGGACATAGCTGCCTATCGCGCTATTTTCACGGCAGTAAATTATACCAGGGTGGTTGCTAATAGTCATATGCATGAGCCCGTGAATTGGCGATACTTTTGAATCACGTGCCACATACTTCGCTTTGACGCATAAGCGGGCCATTACGTGGGAGACATGTAACTTCACACCACCACCTTCTTTCGGCCCGTTCAGGGCACGGAGACTTTGAGAATTACCATGAGAGATTTAACCATACCAGCTACTCACCGTGCATTTGTGGGCGAGCAAAGTCCCCTATTCATTTTTTTTTTCTGCCGCTTGAAAAGAGCGACAGTAAGAAGATATACTGGAAAACTTAGAACTCAAGAGGCAATAAATTGGCTATTAGGCACAGAGGAAGGGGCGGTGGCATACTCTAGTATCATAAATGGAATGTAGTCTCCTCTGGGGAAATAAATGTAGGGACCGAAGTATTGCATAAGATTGCGATACTGGACTGGATTGTAATTAGTGCAGAACTGCTAGAAAATTTCGCTGCGGGCTTAGCTCGACAGCGCGTCCTTCGCCCCTAGGGAGGTTTTTGGAGACTATCGGAAGATAGTTTCGCCGCGGACGTTAAATGCTAAAATAAATAAATAAATAAATATGTAACTTCACATCCGAACATAGAGTTCATGACGAGGTGAAAGGTCGATAGATGTTGCTGATATAACCAGGTCCAAGTCTGTGTCGGATAAATTTCTTTCCGCCTCTTCTCTTCCGTGAAATCCAGGATTATGTAGTAGGAAGCAGGTTTCGGAAAACCGTTGTCAAGCTAGGGTGTGTAGTACCTGAAACATAGTAAAGAATTTGTTGAGGTCGAATGGCTTATCGGTAATTCGTACGGGCTAGTCTACTTGGTGGAATATCAATCTTTCGACCATCTTGTGCCTCATGATGGAATGAGCTCATCTAATTTAGCATACGAACACCCATTATAGTCTTTCTGACTACTATATCAATCACATTTTCGTATCTAAGATTGAGTGCAGGAGCTCGTTGATCTGGATAATAATGTTAGCGAAGCCAGTACATTGTACAAGTCGATATGTAACGGTTCCTTGATGTTATGTCTGGGCTGTTTAAAATTTAAATTATTAAATTTCAAACCTTAAATACAGAAGAAGATGCCCTATGAATACCTCCACGGAAAATCACTTTATTTGCTCACATGGCTCTTGGTATCCTAACTGGCCAGGGCTTAGGGCTGCATCGCGAGATATTCAGATGGATCAGGACTAAGTGTCAATTGTTTATCAGTAATTATTTTGCGTTAGTCTCTACCGCAAGCTTGATTCCAATTGAATTGTAGAAATCCTTGAATACAACAATATAGAGTAAAATGCAAGCAAATTATAAATAACTCATCGTTTCTGCGATATCCAGAGAAACTGCAGTCCTTACGTTTTAGTCTACAGGCTAAACTAGTCTGGGTTGGGATAAATTGTAATTCCAATGCTTTGGCACTGGAATTACAATTTGAGCACAGAAATCAATGTGCAACTAAAAGCATGATATTACAGGCACACTCGACACTCAGTGCTCACAATTTATCGTGGTACGCATGGGAATCCGGAATCTAGAAAGGTCCCTGACTCCTGTAATTTTTATGGCGTCGTAATTATGGTGACTGAAAATTTCTTTTATCGCAGCTTCGCACTCGTTATTGCGAGTCAGAAAGTTTCAAAAAGTAGAATGGTAACCTCAATGTCTCGAATCCGTCACGATACTGGTCGGTTAATATGAAGGCACGTGAGACTGCCCTCCTCTCTCATGTGTTCAACTGGCCACACACTGTTAAGCATAATCGTTCCAATAGCTACGCGTAGGGCAAGACCCTCAATATCTATGTTAAAGAAATTGACATATGTAAAATCAATCCCTAGCAAATGAACCGAGATTTTTTAATGTTAATTCTTGGACTTCTTCACAGTCTAAGACCCAGAAAAGACTGTAATAAAATTAACTTCATGCCAATAGCTACGCATATCCGATGTCTCCTCACTAGCTGACTGGTCTAGCTATGTCAGTTTAATATCCCAAAATTTAGGTTCGAATTTCCCCTTGAGTCTCGCGAGCTAGCCTGAAGACCAGGTCAAGAAGTGGCATTTCTCTGGATTGAATTAATTGTATCTATTTCAGCATCCAGAGGAAGCCTAAGATCAAACTTTATTCGATATTCATTCTTGAACCGGCATATTTGCAGAGCTTTGCGGGTTTTTTCGCCAGCTTTTAAAAGATAAATCGGGTTGTGTGGTTTGCTAGATAGAGCGAACGGGATGTGAAACATTGCACCTAAAAATGTGTACTGAAATCACAAATAATGAGAGTATTACTACCAAGCTACGGAAACGGACTGGTTTTAGAAAATGTTATTCCCGAGCCACCACTTCTCTCGGCCGCTGCGTTGCGTAGGCCTCTATGTCCTAATAAAGTATTGAATCCACAATTAATGGCCACTGACATTGAGCTTTTATCTCACGGAACCGCTTTGACCGTTCAATTTCTTTCAAATCTCTTCCTACGCAACCAAATCTCAGCTAAACTCCGGCACAGGTTATAGCTGGGTATGTTATCACAGACGGCTGCTTGAATGGTAATTCCAATGGGGTCTCCGGAGATTGCCGGGATTATGGATCTCACCTAGCTAGTGTCTCCTACAGGGTACACACACTGAGTAGAGAGGGGATTAAAGAGTTGGATTTGTACTTTCCGGTAATTTATCTCCTTGCGCATGAATATCTGTTTAATTTGTTTGTGCTAATTTATGTCAACGCAGTGCACATAGGCCGTAATAGTCCACTCGCTATGTAGATCTCTGATCTATTGGCATACCTTGAGAAGCTTTTATAATCATATCTTCTTTGAGCGGACTTTTTTAGATGCCAAGTTCCATTCAACCCTCATGTCCGGCATCTCAACCCACAGTACTGCTGGTACCTTGTCCAATTAATGTTACATAACTCTCCCCTCTGATTGCACGTTTGGTTAGGGAAATGTGGCTCTTTATCTCCTGCTTGGTGTCGCTAACATAGTGTCGGTCTCCTAGGGGCGAAGAAAAAGCCGCCATGACTTCGCAATGATACTTGCAAATGAAATTCGAGGCATGTGTGCTCTTCCTTAAATCGAATCAACTATTGTGTACTTTTCTTTGATATTTTGTCATAGCTAGACAACTGCATACATAATTAAAATCTGATGCAAAAAAATGGGTCGGACAAACACAAGTTGATCGCGATGACTGCAAAGAAGTGTGACACGGCCTCTGAGAATAAGTATGAATAGCGGGCTGCCACATGGGCTTTAGACCATGTACACTTGCATGGCTAGCTAAGTTAGCTCCTGAAAGCCATTTGCAACAGTTTGAGCCGTTCAAAGTCTCGTTTCCTCACGCACCAAAGATTCTCGCCCCAATTTCGGGAGCTTCTAACTCATGTCCTTGAGTGTAGCAGATGGCAGGATGTGATAAGGCCTCTGTGTAGCCGTTGTAGCTGATTTCTCAAATCACCACTCCGGTAACACTTTGCTTGGCGGGCCCAGGTGCTATTTCTGCGG